GATCTACGGTATTGAATTTGAAACAAGCTGAGTTTTAAATAAGATCTTGGAACAACAAAATTATTAGTTGAATAATTTGTGGGGTATTTATAATAATTTCAGTGAAGTTAGAGTGAAATATATTAGGAGATAAGATAAGGAGATAAGGAGATAAGCCATGTTTTGTCTTAAACATTAGAAGCATAACTTGGTGTATGTTAAGTTTATAAACATTGAGTGCATTAAGTTCCATTAAAAGAGATTCACCATTAACAGTTCTGTTAACACCAAAAATATATGATATGAGACACATGTTTCTTATATATGTGATGTCTGCACATTAGCCATAAAAGAGGGCTCCCCAAAGCATGAACAATAACATTTCTTATAGCTCCATTGTTCTAATCTGGGTTTCTGACCAATGGCGCCAATTACATTTTTTGGTCTTTGAGATACCTAACTTCCAGACATGGAGCAAACTCCAAATATTTATATGTTTATATTTATGTCAAATAAGGATACTTTGCAAAAAATTGTGATGATTGGAGCTTGGGAACAAAAAAGCCCTAAAACTTCCCCCCTCCCTCCCTGCCCCAAACGTGAGAGCAACAAGTTAATGAAATATTTTTTGTACTATTTTCAACTAGACTTTTATTCTAAAAGTCTTTCTTTTTATTTTAAATTTAATATTAATTCTTTCTTTTTATTTTAAATTTAATATTAATTCTTTCTTTTTATTTTAAATTTAATATTAATTCTTTCTTTTTATTTTAAATTTAATATTAATTCTTTCTTTTTATTTTAAATTTAATATTAATTCTTTCTTTTTATTTTAAATTTAATATTAATTCTTTCTTTTTATTTTAAATTTAATATTAATTCTTTCTTTTTATTTTAAATTTAATATCAATTCTTTCTTTTTATTTTAAATTTAATATTAATTCTTTATTAAATCTTTAAATACTCATCGATAAATTTCTTTAATTTTAAATCCAGCTTTGCCCCACAAGTTTACTAGTTCTCTCAAAATGCAAACACCTCTAATTGTCTGTCACCAGTTCTCTTCACACATTTCTTCAGCTAACTTGCTGCAATTCAAATAACTTTTTCCTGAAGTTAAGGCACATCCAACTTTACAGTTCATCTTGGTAATGCTAAGAAAATATCAAATGATTAAGTACAAATAAATAGATAAAATTCAGAAATTTTTCAGATGTTACCTAGTTTCTTTTCTAATGTTGAGCCAGTTAAAACCTTCTGAGCGATTCTCCAGTTGTTGAAAGTTGATTTGGAGCAAAGCTTTGGAGTGGAAATCCTAACAAATAAAAGTGCCTACGCTTTCTTGCAGCCTGTGTCAAATCTTCAGCTGGCTCTAGTATTGTATTGTGACCAGGGTTGGACTTGTCCACCGGGATGCCGGGGGAAGCCCCGGTGGGCCGCTGATATCTTACTTACAATGGGCCACTAATATAAATCGCAGTTGATGCTACTTAGGTACAACAAAAACATATGGAGGAAAAATTATTTGTAAATTAAGATAGTGGGTATCATAGTAATATAAATTACATATTTACATAATATATAATTTATTTATGTTATAATATGTCGTACATTGTATTATTGTCAAGTACTACTCTAGTTAAACAATCAAAAATTATTGAATTGGAAGGTTCTGTGTTAAAAGAAGAGCTTTTAGATTTTGCATCTAATTTTTTTTTTTTTTTTTTTTAACATCTTTGCTTCCAACAAGGCTGCAAGCAACCACTAATTAGTGTTGGAAGTTACTAAAAGAGAAAAGATGAAGATTGTAGAGCAAGATAACCATTGACAGACGACTTAAAAGATTGCAAATTATATAAATCAGGAAAGCAAGATGAAGGAAGCGAATTCCAAAGAACTGATGTTCGAGGGAAAAAACTAGACGAATTGAGCACTTAGGAACAGTAACAGAAAAAGGATGAGACTTAATTGAATGACGAGTAACATGAGAATGAATTTTAGTAGATGGCACAAGAGACCATTATAGTATTTGTAGAAAAGAGAAAGAGAAGCAACATTACCACCGTGTGACAGAGGTTGAAAGTTGGCTGCAAGAGCAGGTCTAACTATGTTTACAATTTTTGCACCTTGTCTAAAAGAGAAAGGGCATCATTAGAAGATCCGACCCAAATATGGCAACAGTATTCCATACAAGGTCGGATTTGAGATTTATAGAGATAGAGAATAGAATCCAGAGTAAGAAAGTGTTGAGCTCGATAAACTTTAGCAGATGCTAATTTTGCAACGGATTTGATATAAGGTTTCCAAGAAAGATCAGAAGTGAGAGTTAATCCTAGAAGATGAAGGGTAGATGACGAATCGAGTACATTACCGTTTATAAATATAGGAAGATCTAAATTATTGCGATAACGATTGACTGAAAAAAATTGAGTCTTATTTAAATTAAAGTTCACCAGCCACTGTAAGCCCCATGCTGTAGCAGAAGTGAGATCCTTTTCAAGCTCTAATGCCCCCTGCAAACAATCAGAGGGAGTTGGCTTCTTATCGTGACAAGAATGAATGGTAGTATCATTAGCAAACAATGCCACCTTAGAGAATATCTGAAAGATCGTTAATGTATATTAAAAAGAGTATAGGGCCAAGCATTGAACCTTGAGGAACCCCTGAGGTTACAGAATAAGAAGAAGAGTGCTGTCCATCAAGGACAACTTTTATACTACGATTGGAAAGAAAGGATTTAATAATCTTAAAAATGTTTCCAGATACACCGTAAGAAGAAAGCTTATGGAGAAGACCAGCATGCCAAACTTTATCAAATGGTTTAGAAATGTCAAGAGCGATGGCCTTAACCTCTCCACCTTTATCTAATGCACGATAAAACCTATCGGTTATTACTGTTAGCAAATCAGCCGTAGAACGAGAAGATTGAAATCCATATTGATGATCAGAAAGTAGGTTATGAGATTCAAAATGAGAGATTAAGTGTTTGTTAATTAAAGATTCAAAAACCTTGCTTATGATAGAAAGAAGACTAATGGGACGGTAGTTAGATGAATCGGATCGCTCTCCAGAATTTTTAAAAATAGAGGTAACAGATGCTGCTTTCCAGCAGGCTGGAAAACAAGACTCTGATAAGCACTTGTTAAATAGTTTTGAAAGGATAGACGACAGCTCCAGAGAACACTTCTGCAACACTATAACAGGTATGTTGTCCGGAACGCAAGCTGTAGAAGAGTCTAAGCAGGAAATCACTTTAGATACAGAAGCTGGAGTGATATGGATGACAAGCAATGGAT